TATTTGACCTAAGAACAGTGAGAAGCAATTTTTTTTCACATGGATTTTAGTATACCATTAGGCGCATTCACACCGCAGTACTTTTCCCACAAAGGTTCATGAGAATTTAGTTCATGAGAACTCTTTGAACCTGGGGGTGGATTAGGCAAATGAAGCGGCTGACGTCACTTCTTCTTCTTCTTCTGCTTTGGGTTTACTGGCAGGCCGCAAACCACTTCACGGCGTATACTGCCGCCCAAAGTCCCCGGCCGGAAGTCCCCGGAGTTGGGGACTGGCTTCAGTAGAAGCTGCTGGGAGTCCCAGCAGCCTTCCGAGTAAATCGCCAGAACGCCGACACCTCCTCATCTCCACCGCTCCCATGTTTTATTTTGTGTTGCCATAAGTTAGTCTCTCTGCATTTCTGCGCTGGGCTAATGCTAATAATGCTAATGCGAGGATAATAAAATGGCGGCTTCACAAAACTTTTTGGGAGTTTTACGGGGCGTGGTTTGCAATCCGCCCAGCCAATCAGAAATATAGCTCTTTTCTCACAAGAGAGCCGTACGAAAGTCCCTGCTCTCTAGCAGCTCTCTGCTCTCTAGCAGGGACTTTCGTGGGGGTAAAAAGGTTCTCATGAACTAATTTTAGTACCGGCTCTTTTTTGTGTGAACGCGATAAAAGAGGCTAACGTCCACGCTAGCTGCTATATGTTTTGCATTGAGGTGATACTTGAGGCTTGATGTGCTGCGGTGATATGCGAATTCCTTTTTGCATAATTTGCACACAACCGTGCTCTTATCGACGCTTCCATCCGTCCGTTTTTTAAAACAACATTTCCCACTGTTGTTCACTGTGGTTTGTTGTTGTCTGAAGTCATGAACGTTAGTTGGTGCTCCAGTATAATCGGTACGCCTGAAACTCATCCAGTGAGAAACGTTCCGCGGTGCAAAAATAAGTGCGATTAAAATGCGTTAATTTTTTTAACGCGTTAATTTTTGTGTAATTAATTAATCTTAATTAACGCGTTAAAGTCCCGGCCCTAATATATATATATATATATATATATACAAAATACCACGTACTGTCTGCCCCCCCCCCCCTTTGCCACCCCATGTAAAATGTTCTAGAACCGCCACTGTTTAGCAGCCAGGTGTATATTGCACAGTATTTAACGGTGTATATATATATATTAGGGCTGTCAAACGATTACAATTTTTAATCAGATTAATCACAGCTTAAAAATTAATTAATCATGATTAATCACCATTCGAACTATGTCCAAAATATGCCATTTATTTATGCATATTGTTGTGGGAATGGAAAGATAAATGAAAGAAGGCGGATATATCCATTTAACATACAGTATCTATGTTTATTATAAAAAAATTCTGCGTGTCAAAATGAAAGACAACCCACACACCTATCAATCATCAAACCGTGGGGTCTTAATTCATTACGTGTTGATTTCTATCAACGGGGGAGTACTTCAGGAAAGTCGACAGAGGGGGGGGCTAGTGGAGTACTTCGTGACCACAGAGTGTGAACGTTGTGATCAGCTGTTTTAGCGCAGTTCTCCAGTGAAGGGGGGGGAGTCTCCCTCCGCCGCCGGTTGGCGTAGTTTTGGCACAATTCCGTTGTACAGACCGACGTTAACAGCAGCCCTGTCTGTGCACACGGAGACCGACTCTGTCGTCCGGTGATCTAACCGCCTTCTGGAAAAGCTTCACAAGTACGTCGGTACGCAAATGCGCTTTGTGACACAAGTGACGGTACGCATTTCAGAGAGATTACGGACATAACCTGCGTACCAGTTATGTGCACCCCTATACTACAGCAAAAGTATTCTCCGTCGGGACTTCCTGCAACAACACCACGCCGTTATCAAAGATGTTCTATTGAGAAGACGATCACTACGTGACAAAAGTTTTCAAAACCGTGGCTACTGAAATCAATCTTACGAACTGCTGTCTGTGCAATTTACTCCGCGTGAGTTGGCAGACTTTATTTTGCATACTTTAACATCCTTTTTCATGGTGGGGCTAAGCCATTTCTTGGTATGGGTGTAGCCTACCCCAGCCATACCCTGGCGCTGCCACTGGTGGCACGTATGGGGCGGGCCATTCTGCACATGCGTTAAATGCGTTAAATATTTTAACGCAATTAATTCAAAAAATTAATTACCGCCGTTAACGCGATAATTTTGACAGCACTAATATATATATATATATATATATATATATATATATATATATATATATATGGGCCGGGACTTTAACGCGTTAATTAAGATTAATTAATTACACAAAAATTAACGCGTTAAAAAAATTAACGCATTTTAATCGCACTTATTTTTGCACCGCGGAACGTTTCTCACTGGATGAGTTTCAGGCGTACCGATTATACTGGAGCACCAACTAACGTTCATGACTTCAGACAACAACAAACCACAGTGAAGTGGGAAATGTTGTTTTAAAAAAAACGGACGGATGGAAGCGTCGATAAGAGCACGGTTGTGTGCAAATTATGCAAAACGGAATTCGCATATCACCGCAGCACATCAAGCCTCAAGTATCACCTCAATGCAAAAACATATAGCAGCTAGCGTGGAAGTTAGACTCTTTTATCGCGTTCACACCAAAAAGAGCCGGTACTAAAATTAGTTCATGAGAACCTTTTTACCCCCACGAAAGTCCCTGCTAGAGAGCAGAGAGCTGCTAGAGAGCAGGGACTTTCGTACGGCTCTCTTGTGAGAAAAGAGCTATATTTCTGATTGGCTGGGCGGATTGCAAACCACGCCCCGTAAAACTCCCAAAAAGTTTTGTGAAGCCTCCATTTTATTATCCTCGCATTAGCATTATTAGCATTAGCTCAGCGCAGAAACGCAGAGTGACTAACTTATGGCAACACAAAATAAAACATGGGAGCGGTGGAGATGAGGAGGTGTCGGCGTTCTGGCGATTTACTCGGAAGGCTGCTGGGACTCCCAGCAGCTTCTACTGAAGCCAGTCCCCAACTCAGGGGACTTCCGGCCGGGGACTTTGGGCGGCAGTATACGCCGTGAAGTGATTTGCGGCCTGCCAGTAAACCCAAAGCAGAAGAAGAAGTGACGTCAGCGGCTTCATTTGCCTAATCCACCCCCAGGTTCAAAGAGTTCTCATGAACTAAGTTCTCATGAACCTTTGTGGGAAAAGTACTGCGGTGTGAATGCGCCTAATGGTATACTAAAATCCATGTGAAAAAAATTGCTTCTCACTGTTCTCAGGTCAAATATTTATATGCGATTAAAAATAAGATTAATTTCGATTAATTAATTACAAAGCCTCTAATTAATTAGATTAATTTTTTTAATCGAGTCCCGGCCCTAATATATATATATATATATATATATACATTAGGGGTGTAACGGTTCACAAACATTTCGGTTCGGTACGTACCTCGGTTTTTTGGTCACGGTTCGGTTCGGTACGTTTTCGGTACAGCAGAATTTTTTTTCACAAAACAAAACATATATATATATATATTTATTATTATTATTAAGCTGTGAATAATGTATTCACTCAAATAAATACAAAATATAATAAAATAAACATTAAGGTGCAGCATTTCGATGAACTGAAATAATCTGTATTTGAACTTTACTGTACTAGTACTCACAAAACATAAACTATTAGTTTTGGGTTTTTAATTATTATTAAACTGTGAATATTCACTCAAATAAATACAAAATATAATAAAATGAACATTAAGGTGCAGCATTTCGATGAACTGAAATAATCTGTATTTGAACTGTACTGTACTAGCACCTAAGCAGCCAGTTTGACATTAGGACTTGCTTGTCATTGTATTTTCATGTTTTTTTAAAGAAAGATGAACCTGTCCACATTGCTTGCCGAAAGGGCAGATCTGCTGGCACTAACAATGTCTCCTGATGTGGAGAAAACCCTCTCGCTAGGGACAGAGGTAGCAGATACAGCCAGGTAGCGCTTTGCTAACATGGCAACATAAGGATATTTGGTGTTTGTAATAGCTTTGGCTCGGTCTGATCTTTCTGCGAGTGGTGGAGGCTTAAATGCTAGTGGGAGTTGGGTTTGCACTTCAGTCTTTTTTCTTTTGGTACCGGTGATATTCACGTTCGGGTGATGCCTTTTCAAGAGTGTGCAAGTTTGATGTATTGCCAGCCGCGTAACCAATTTTAGTTGAACAATGCCGACAAACAGCTTTGGTTCGGTCCACCTGTCTTTGTCCGTCATCCTTGTACGTAACTGTGAAACCAAAATGTTCCCAAACCGGAGACTTCAATGATGCTGGAGGATTTTCGAGCTCAACTTTATCTGCGTTCGCCATTAATTTTTGACAGTTCCTCAAATTACTGACTACATTTGAACGCATCCCTCTGACCAGCTCTCATAGTATGCCTCTCATCCAATGAAATGACTTGCTCGCTCTATGACGCGTTGAATCCAATGTGAGCAAATTACTCTGAATGCTGCGACGCAGCACCTGAGATTACTTCCAAAAAGTTGTTCACGTTCTCAATTTTTTACGTTTAACGTTATATTCGTTCGGTACACTTCGGTACACACCTGTACCGAACCGAAGGGCCCGTACCGAATAATTTCGGTACGGGTACGTGTACCGTTACACCCCTAATATACATACATACATATACAGGATTGGGTGAAGTGTTTTACCCAAAATACCGAAATGCCTCATCTGCACTTTTCCCCCTAAAAATGAATTTTAATCAATACTGTTAGATGTAAATGGTTTATTGTATCATTACTATGGATCTCTGAAACAATCAGACTTTTACCACACTGTTAGCAGACTTTTAGCAGCTCTTATCAGACTTTTAGCACTCTTTTCCCCACTGAAACGACTTTAAATCATCAGTGTCACTATTGTGGGGATGTAGGAATGTACCTGTGTCTGTTGTGCTGCTTCAGCTGATAAGGCTGGTTATGAATCAGAGGAGGAGCTGCTGCAAACAGGGCGGGAAGTTGAAAGTGAAAGTATGAAGTCAGACTTGTCAGACGCCATTTTACAGCTCGACAGGAGGAGAACAACAGGGTGAGTGTTAACACCAGGATCTGCTTTCTAACACATTTATTATTTACTCTGTCAAACTGGGTGTCAGAAAATAACTTATTGGTTAACAATCTGCGTCCTAGAGTCCATTGAGACTCCTGCAAGTGTTGTACACTTTTATTATTTCCTGTTTCCTGATTCGTCAGAGTTACATAACATGTGACAGCCCAGCGCAGACACAATGGAGAGCGGCCTGTCTGAAGTGTGTGTGTGTGTGTGTGTGTGTGTGTGTGTGTGTGTGTGTGTGTGTGTGTGTGTGTGATCTCTCTCTCAGACTGGAGAAGATGAGTGATTTAAAAGACGAGGAAGAGGACAAATCTTCAGTCTCCAGCTGTCTGTCTCTGAAGAGTGACGGGTCTATGGGCAGGCTTCCTCCAGGCTTCAGTAATGAACCTGGACCCTCAGACACAAAGTAAGAGTTTCTCCTGTAAACTGACCTGAAGAGGATTCAGTTTGTTGGTATCTGATAATCTAAACTGTTTAATGAAACCCAGTACATTAACAAAGTGTAATTGAACACTTGCTTCTTGTCATCATCAGAGATAGTAAATGATCTACTAGTGAAATCATCCTCACACTCTACATGTTGGACTTTGTGTTAAATTAAGCAAATAAAATACAAATATGTAAAACGTTTCACACTCGAATGAATTTCAACAACAGAAACCCACAATCACGACTCAACAACTCTAAACATCTTTAATCAGGTGAACAGTCACAGATCAAAAGCTGCTCTTTAAATGAACTAATGATGTTTAAACATGTGTTGTTTCCACAGACAGAGAGCAGAGTCTCCGGTCTCCATGTGGTCTCTGAAGAGTGACCGGTCTATGGGGGAACCTCCAGTCTTCAGTGATGAACCAGGACCCTCAGACACAAAGTAAGAGTCTCTACTGTAAACTGACCTGAAGAGGATCCACTTTTGATGTAATCTAATATATTAAACTGTTCTTTAATGAAATCATGTGAGCAGTTTGTAAAGGGAAAACGCAGCAGAGTAAGTTAACATTATCTAAGGATATTTCAATATGCAATTATATTATCATTGTATCTGTGTATAAAATGGTTTCAAATAGCAACAATGTTGATACATTCTGATTTAAAAACTATATATATTATCCAAAACATTATTTAACTACTTGGGCATATCTATGATATGTCTTTAAGGTGTTTATTAATAATAGTGATAACCTGATGAGCTGGTTGTGTTGAGCATTAGCAGATAAAATAGTGTTTTGTGAAATCACATGTAGAGTCAATGCAAAGACCCAGATCCGTGCCTGGCAACACGAAGGAAGTGAAGATGTTAAATTCATGTCACCTGCGTATTCATGCAGCGTGACACATTTCAACTTGAGTGTAAAGTTTGTGACGCTCTTTTACAAAACCCTGTCAGTGTTGAGATTGTGCTCCTGTGGTCTCTGACGGTCTGAGGGGAATCAGAGAGGAGAGCAGAGCTCTACAGCAGCTCATATTCAATCAGGGTTATTCATGTTCCTGTATAAACCTGAGACTGTCTGCGGTGCTAACAATATACTCACTGCTGTACTTATGACTTCATGAAGTTACTCTGAGTGCTGATGGAGCAGCTAATGTTAGCCTAGCTTTAATCAAACCGGTCTCTTCAGAAAAAAAAACATTATAAAAGGTTGTTATGCTCGTTGTGTTGGAGACAGAGCTGACAAAACATTAACTCAGCTTTTTACAAATCAGTATCATTCTGTTGTTATTTAGGCATCCTTTCCACATGTTTATCTCTATTAATTCACAGCAGATTCTATGCAAGTTGGGTTTATAGTGAACCAGGTTAACACAGCTGTGTGTGTAGATTCAGGGAACATGTGCTCCTCTGGGTGATGAATCCAGACAGGAGGCTCTCTGGTTTTATGAGAATGTGAATTGTAAGCTATCTACCTGATCACATATTATATATATATATATATATATATATATATATATATATATATATATATATATATATATATATATATTAGGGCTGTCAGTCGATTAAAATAGTTAATCGCGATTAATCGCAAATTAATCGCACATTTTTGATCTGTTCTAAATGTACCTTAGAGGAATATTTTTCAAGTTTTTAATACTCTTATCATCATATGAGTGGACAAATATGCTTTATGCTAATGTTTATTATCATTTGAACATTACAAATATTCGTCTCAATTCAACCTGGAACCTCTCTCATTCAATAATGTGTGTGTGTGTGTGTGTGTGTGTGTGTGTGTGTGTGTGTGTGTGTGTGTGTGTGTGTGTGTGTGTGTGTGTGTGTGTGTGTGTGTAGACTGGAGAAGATGAGTGATTTAAAAGACGAGGAAGAGGACAAATCTTCAGTCTCCAGCTGTCTGTCTCTGAAGAGTGACGGGTCTATGGGCAGGCTTCCTCCAGGCTTCAGTAATGAACCTGGACCCTCAGACACAAAGTAAGAGTTTCTCCTGTAAACTGACCTGAAGAGGATTCAGTTTGTTGGTATCTGATCATCTAAACTGTTTAATGAAACCCAGTACATTAACAAAGTGTAATTTAACTCTTGCTTCTTGTCATCATCAGAGATAGTAAATGATCTACTAGTGAAATCATCCTCACACTCTACATGTTGGACTTTGTGTTAAATTAAGCAAATAAAAGACAAATATGTAAAACGTTTCACACTCGAATGAATTTCAACAACAGAAAACCACAATCACGACTCAACAACTCTAAACATCTTTAATCAGGTGAACAGTCACAGATCAAAAGCTGCTCTTTAAATGAACTAATGATGTTTAAACATGTGTTGTTTCCACAGACAGAGAGCAGAGTCTCCGGTCTCCATGTGGTCTCTGAAGAGTGACTGGTCTATGGGGGAACCTCTAGGGTTCAGTAATGAACCAGGACCCTCAGACACAAAGTAAGAGTCTCTCCTGTAACCTGACCTGAAGAGGATTCACTTTTGATGTAATCTAATATATTAAACTGTTCTTTAATGAAATCATGTGAGCAGTTTGTAAAGGGAAAACGCAGCAGAGTAAGCTAACATTATCTAAGGATATTTCAATATGCAATTATATTATCATTGTATCTGTGTATAAAATGGTTATAAATAGCAACAATGTTGATAAATACTGATTTAAAAACTATATATATTATCCAAAACATTATTTAACTACTTGGGCATATCTATGATATGTCTTTAAGGTGTTTATTAATAATAGTGATAACCTGGTGAGCTGGTTGTGTTGAGCATTAGCAGGTAAAATAGTGTTTTGTGAAATCACATGTAGAGTCAATGCAAAGACCCAGATCCGTGCCTGGCAACACGAAGGAAGTGAAGATGTTAAATTCATATCACCTGCGTATTCATGCAGCGTGACACATTTCAACTTGAGTGTAAAGTTAGTGACGCTCTGTTACAAAACCCTGTCAGTGTTGAGATTGTGCTCCTGTGGTCTCTGACGGTCTGAGGGGAATCAGAGAGGAGAGCAGAGCTCTACAGCAGCTCATATTCAATCAGGGTTATTCATGTTCCTGTATAAACCAGAGACTGTCTGTGGTGCTAACAATATACTCACTGCTGTACTTATGACTTCATGAAGTTACTCTGAGTGCTGATGGAGCAGCTAATGTTAGCCTAGCTTTAATCAAACCGGTCTCTTCAGAAAAAAAAAACATTATAAAAGGTTGTTATGCTCGTTGTGTTGGAGACAGAGCTGACAAAACATTAACTCAGCTTTTTACAAATCAGTATCATTCTGTTGTTCTTTAGGCATCCTTTCCACATGTTTATCTCTATTAATTCACAGCAGATTCTATGCAAGTTGGGTTTATAGTGAACCAGGTTAACACAGCTGTGTGTGTAGATTCAGGGAACATGTGCTCCTCTGGGTGATGAATCCAGACAGGAGGCTCTCTGGTTTTATGAGAATGTGATTGTAAGCTATCTACCTGATCACATATTATATATATATATATATATATATATATATTATATAATATATATTAGGGCTGTCAGTCGATTAAATATAGTTAATCGCAATTAATCGCACATTTTTGATCTGTTTCTAAATGTAACTTAGAGGAATATTTTTCAAGTTTTTAATACTCTTATCATCATATGAGTGGAACAATATGCTTTAATGCTAATGTTTATTTATCATTGAACATTACAAATATTCGTCTCAATTCAACTGGAACCTCTCTCATTCAATAATACAAATTGTGTGGTGTGTGTGTGTGTGTTGGTGTGTGTGTGTGTGGTGGTTGTGGGTTGTGTGTGTGTGTGTGTGTGTGTGTGTTGGTGTGTGTGTGTGTGTGGTGTGTGGTGTGTGTGTGTGTGTGTGTGTGTGTGTGTGTGTGGTGTGTGTTGTGTGTGTGTGTGTGTGTGTGTGTGGTGTGTGTGTGTGTGTGTGTGTGTGTGTGTGTGGTGTGTGGTGTGTGTGTGTGTGTGTGTGTGTGTGTGTGTGTGTGGGTGTGTGTGTGTGTGTTGTGTGTGTGTGTGTGGTGTGTGTGTGTGTGTGTGTGTGTACTGGAGAAGATGAGTGATTTAAAAGACGATGAAGAGGACAAATCTTCAGTCTCCAGCTGTCTGTCTCTGAAGAGTGACGGGTCTATGGGCAGGCTTCCTCCAGGCTTCAGTAATGAACCTGGACCCTCAGACACAAAGTAAGAGTTTCTCCTGTAAACTGACCTGAAGAGGATTCAGTTTGTTGGTATCTGATAATCTAAACTGTTTAATGAAACCCAGTACATTAACAAAGTGTAATTGAACTCTTGCTTCTTGTCATCATCAGAGATAGTAAATGATCTACTAGTGAAATCATCCTCACACTCTACATGTTGGACTTTGTGTTAAATTAAGCAAATCAAATACAAATATGTAAAACGTTTCACACTCGAATGAATTTCAACAACAGAAACCCACAATCACGACTCAACAACTCTAAACATCTTTAATCAGGTGAACAGTCAAAGATCAAAAGCTGCTCTTTAAATGAACTAATGATGTTTAAACATGTGTTGTTTCCACAGACAGAGAGCAGAGTCTAGGGTCTCCATGTGGTCTCTGAAGAGTGACCGGTCTATTGGGGAACCTCCAGTCTTCAGTGATGAACCTGGACCCTCAGACACAAAGTAAGAGTCTCTCCTGTAAACTGACCTGAAGAGGATCCAGTTTTGATGTAATCTAATATATTAAACTGTTCTTTAATGAAATCATGAGAGCAGTTTGTAAAGGGAAAACGCAGCAGAGTAAGCTAACATTATCTAAGGATATTTCAATATGCAATTATATTATCATTGTCTCTGTGTATAAACTGGTTTTAAATAGCAACAATGTTGATAAATACTGATTTAAAAACTATATATATTATCCAAAACATTATTTAACTACTTGGGCATATCTATGATATGTCTTTTTAAGGTGTTTATTAATAATAGTGATAACCTGGTGAGCTGGTTGTGTTGAGCATTAGCAGATAAAATAGTGTTTTGTGAAATCACATGTAGAGTCAATGCAAAGACCCAGATCCGTGCCTGGCAACACGAAGGAAGTGAAGATGTTAAATTCATATCACCTGCGTATTCCTGCAGCGTGACACATTTCAACTTGAGTGTAAAGTTTGTGACGCTCTTTTACAAAACCTGTCAGTGTTGAGATTGTGCTCCTGTGGTCTCTGACGGTCTGAGGGGAATCAGAGAGGAGAGCAGAGCTCTACAGCAGCTCATATTCAATCAGGGTTATTCATGTTCCTGTATAAACCAGAGACTGTCTGTGGTGCTAACAATATAGTGACTGCTGTAGTTATGACTTCATGAAGTTACTCTGAGTGTTGATGGAGCAGCTAATGTTAGCCTAGCTTTAATCAAACCGGTCTCTTCAGAAAAAAACATTTAAACATGTTGTTATGCTCGTTGTGTTGGAGACAGAGCTGACAAAACATTAACTCAGCTTTTTACAAATCAGTATCATTCTGTTGTTCTTTAGGCATCCTTTCCACATGTTTATCTCTATTAATTCACAGCAGATTCTATGCAAGTTGGGTTTATAGTACACCAGGTTAACACAGCTGTGTGTGTAGATTCAGGGAACATGTGCTCCTCTGGGTGATGAATCCAGACAGGAGGCTCTCTGGTTTTGAGAATGTGAATTGTAAGCTATCTACCTGATCACATATTATATATATATATATATATATATATATATATATTAGGGCTGTCAGTCGATTAAAATAGTTAATCGCAAATTAATCGCACATTTTTGATCTGTTCTAAATGTACCTTAGAGGAATATTTTTCAAGTTTTTAATACTCTTATCATATGAGTGGACAAATATGCTTTATGCTAATGTTTATTATCATTTGAACATTACAAATATTCGCCTCAATTCAACCTGGAACCTCTCTCATTCAATAATACAATAGTGTGTGTGTGTGTGTGTGTGTGTGTGTAGACTGGAGAAGATGAGTGATTTAAAAGACGAGGAAGAGGACAAATCTTCAGTCTCCAGCTGTCTGTCTCTGAAGAGTGACCGGTCTATGCGTTGGCTTCCTCCAGACTTCAGTGATGAACCTGGACCCTCAGACACAAAGTAAGAGTTTCTCCTGTAAACTGACCTGAAGAGGATTCAGTTTGTTGGTATCTGATAATCTAAACTGTTTAATGAAACCCAGTACATTAACAAAGTGTAATTGAACACTTGCTTCTTGTCATCATCAGAGATAGTAAATGATCTACTAGTGAAATCATCCTCACACTCTACATGTTGGACTTTGTGTTAAATTAAGCAAATAAAAGACAAATATGTAAAACGTTTCACACTCGAATGAATTTCAACAACAGAAACCCACAATCACGACTCAACAACTCTAAACATCTTTAATAAGGTGAACAGTCAAAGATCAAAAGCTGCTCTTTAAATGAACTAATGATGTTTAAACATGTGTTGTTTCCACAGACAGAGAGCAGAGTCTACGGTCTCCATGTGGTCTCTGAAGAGTGACTGGTCTATTGGGGAACCTCCAGACTTCAGTAATGAACCAGGACCCTCAGACACAAAGTAAGAGTCTCTCCTGTAAACTGACCTGAAGAGGATCCACTTTTGATGTAATCTAATATATTAAACTGTTCTTTAATGAAATCATGTGAGCAGTTTGTAAAGGGAAAACGCAGCAGAGTAAGCTAACATTATCTAAGGATATTTCAATATGCAATTATATTATCATTGTCTCTGTGTATAACATGGTTTTAAATAGCAACAATGTTGATAAATACTGATTTAAAAACTATATATATTTTCCAAAACATTATTTAACTACTTGGGCATATCTATGATATGTCTTTAAGGTGTTTATTAATAATAGTGATGACCTGGTGAGCTGGTTGTGTTGAGCATTAGCAGGTAAAAAAGAGTTTTGTGAAATCACATGTAGAGTCAATGCAAAGACCCAGATCCGTGCCTGGCAACACGAAGGAAGTGAAGATGTTAAATTCATATCACCTGCGTATTCATGCAGCGTGACACATTTCAACTTGAGTGTAAAGTTTGTGACGCTCTTTTACAAAAGCTGTCAGTGTTGAGATTGTGCTCCTGTGGTCTCTGACGGTCTGAGGGGAATCAGAGAGGAGAGCAGAGCTCTACAGCAGCTCATATTCAATCAGGGTTATTCATGTTCCTGTATAAACCAGAGACTGTCTGTGGTGCTAACAATATAGTGACTGCTGTACTTATGACTTCATGAAGTTACTCTGAGTGCTGATGGAGCAGCTAATGTTAGCCTAGCTTTAATCAAACCGGTCTCTTCAGAAAAAAACATTTAAACATGTTGTTATGCTCGTTGTGTTGGAGACAGAGCTGACAAAACATTAACTCAGCTTTTTACAAATCAGTATCATTCTGTTGTTCTTTAGGCATCCTTTCCACATGTTTATCTCTATTAATTCACAGCAGATTCTATGCAAGTTGGGTTTATAGTGAACCAGGTTAATACAGCTGTGTGTGTAGATTCAGGGAACATGTGCTCCTCTGGGTGATGAATCCAGACAGGAGGCTCTCTGGTTTTATGAGAATGTGAATTGTAAGCTATCTACCTGATCACATATTATATATATATATATATATATATATATATATATATATATATTAGGGCTGTCAGTCGACTAAAATAGTTAATCGCAAATTAATCGCACATTTTTGATCTGTTCTAAATGTACCTTAGAGGAATATTTTTCAAGTTTTTAATACTCTTATCATATGAGTGGACAAATATGCTTTATGCTAATGTTTATTATCATTTGAACATTACAAATATTCGCCTCAATTCAACCTGGAACCTCTCTCATTCAATAATACAATAGTGTGTGTGTGTGTGTGTGTGTGTGTGTGTGTGTGTGTGTAGACTGGAGAAGATGAGTGATTTAAAAGACGAGGAAGAGGACAAATCTTCAGTCTCCAGCTGTCTGTCTCTGAAGAGTGACGGGTCTATGGGCAGGCTTCCTCCAGGCTTCAGTAATGAACCTGGACCCTCAGACACAAAGTAAGAGTTTCTCCTGTAAACTGACCTGAAGAGGATTCAGTTTGTTGGTATCTGATAATCTAAACTGTTTAATGAAACCCAGTACATTAACAAAGTGTAATTGAACTCTTGCTTCTTGTCATCATCAGAGATAGTAAATGATCTACTAGTGAAATCATCCTCACACTCTACATGTTGGACTTTGTGTTAAATTAAGCAAATAAAAGACAAATATGTAAAACGTTTCACACTCGAATGAATTTCAACAACAGAAACCCACAATCACGACTCAACAACTCTAAACATCTTTAATAAGGTGAACAGTCAAAGATCAAAAGCTGCTCTTTAAATGAACTAATGATGTTTAAACATGTGTTATTTCCACAGACAGAGAGCAGAGTCTACGGTCTCCATGTGGTCTCTGAAGAGTGACCGGTCTAAAGAGTTGCTTCCATACTTCAGTAATGAACCTGGACCCTCAGACACAAAGTAAGAGTCTCTCCTGTAAACTGACCTGAAGAGGATCCACTTTTGATGTAATCTAATATATTAAACTGTTCTTTAATGAAATCATGTGAGCAGTTTGTAAAGGGAAAACGCAGCAGAGTAAGCTAACATTATCTAAGGATATTTCAATATGCAATTATATTATCATTGTATCTGTGTATAAAATGGTTATAAATAGCAACAATGTTGATAAATACTGATTTAAAAACTATATATATTATCCAAAACATTATTTAACTACTTGGGCATATCTATGATATGTCTTTTTAAGGTGTTTATTAATAATAGTGATAACCTGGTGAGCTGGTTGTGTTGAGCATTAGCAGATAAAATAGTGTTTTGTGAAATCACATGTAGAGTCAATGCAAAGACCCAGATCCGTGCCTGGCAACACGAAGGAAGTGAAGATGTTAAATTCATGTCACCTGCGTATTCGTGCAGCGTGACACATTTCAACTTGAGTGTAAAGTTTGTGACGCTCTTTTACAAAACCCTGTCAGTGTTGAGATTGTGCTCCTGTGGTCTCTGACGGTCTGAGGGGAATCAGAGAGGAGAGCAGAGCTCTGCAGCAGCTCATATTCAATCAGGGTTATTCATGTTCCTGTATAAACCAGAGACTCTCTGTGGTGCTAACAATATAGTGACTGCTGTACTTATGACTTCATGAAGTTACTCTGAGTGCTGATGGAGCAGCTAATGTTAGCCTAGCTTTAATCAAACCGGTCTCTTCAGAAAAAAACATTTAAACATGTTGTTATGCTCGTTGTGTTGGAGACAGAGCTGACAAAACATTAACTCAGCTTTTTACAAATCAGTATCATTCTGTTGTTCTTTAGGCATCCTTTCCACATGTTTATTTCTATTAATTCACAGCAGATTCTATGCAAGTTGGGTTTATAGTGAACCAGGTTAACACAGCTGTGTGTGTAGATTCAGGGAACATGTGCTCCTCTGGGTGATGAATCCAGACAGGAGGCTCTCTGGTTTTATGATCATGTGAACTGTAAGCTATCTACCTGATCACATATTATATATATATATATATATATATATATATTAGGGCTGTCAGTCGATTAAAATAGATCATTTTTGATCTGTTCTAAATGTACCTTAGAGGAATATTTTTCAAGTTTTTAATACTCTTATCATATGAGTGGACAAATATGCTTTATGCTAATGTTTATTATCATTTGAACATTACAAATATTCGCCTCAATTCAACCTGGAACCTCTCTCATTCAATAATGTGTGTGTGTGTGTGTGTGTGTGTGTGTGTGATGGATCGTTGGAGCTATGTGCAACTCAAGGCAAATGCTCGAACCGGAGCTGCCTGGACGCTGCAATCATGTTGCGCACTATCCGTGCTGAGTGTGCTGACTTTTCGTGCAATGTCCCACTGTCTGGCTTCCTGCATAAAGTCAAGTGCTCGGCGCAGTTGTGGCGAAATGTCGCTCCTCTGTTTTCATTTAAACAGCTCCTTATATCTGTTAGCGCAGCTAGCTAGCACCAGATGCTAACAACAACAATGCACGTAAGGTCTCTCTCTCTCGCTCGGGCCACACATACACACACCCTCCCGGTCCTCCCAATAGCCAGTCGGTGCCTGCCGGTGAGCGTGGAAGTGTGGTCTGCTGCAAGCGGGCGGCAGACCACACTGTCAGCATCAGCTTGTAGATGGTATTTTAAACTCGATGCGCTCTGAAACTACGGGGCGGCAGAGGAAAAAAAATACACATGCGTTAATCGCGTTAAAATAATTAGTGGCGTTAATTATTTTTTGCGTTATTAACGTGTTAACTTGACAGCCCTAATATATATATATATTATATAGACCTTTTTTTAAATATCAAACTAGAATTTGCCCCCTTGTTGTACCTTTGGTGAGAATCAGCCCCTCTGAAGTAAAGTGCTATAAAGGATGTGTTCCTCTCCACAGAGGGAAGAGGAAGAGTGGTGTTCCTGTGGAGGAGCAGCTGTCCAGCTGTGCTCTGTGTCAGGACGTCCTGAAGGATCCAGTCTCCACCAGCTGTGGACACTGGTTCTGCAGAAAGTGCATCACCTCATACTGGGAGCAGCGCCCTCCATCAGGAGACCCCTCCTGTCCTCAGTGTCGAGAAAGACCCAGAACCAGAGCTGGCCTGCAGACAGCCAGTCAGAGCAGCTCTGTACGAGGTAAGAGGCCGAACTCATGCAGCGTTTATTCCTCTTCCTGGTTGATTTGTTTTTTTATTAGGTATTCTGTTGAAGAGCATAGACATTAAAATGTTTATAAAACATTTAACCTGTTCTACACCGCCCCCCGGTACCGGGGGGAAAACGTGTCATCTGCAGGAAACAGCGTCTGAGGGCATCTTAATATTTAATAAACTATGAATGTTTTTATATCCATGTAACGAGAAGAAACTCAGCTAACTGATCTTTTATTTAAAAGAAACCCACTAAGCTAACGCTCAGCCTTTGAATTAGCCACGAGCGAAAAAATGCTAACGCATTACTGCACAGAAACTCACTCATAACACCCTTATTACTTATCTTAACTGCACGTCCAACCCATCGACTAGCATCGTGAGAAGACACAGAATCGATCTGTACATACATCATCACTCCATGATAAGAACTCGCGAAGATATTAACAAGAACAGACATCAAAACATGTGGCGCTAGGTAGCTAGAAACGGCAAAATGGCTCACCTTAGTCGTTGTCTGGTCAAAGGTGTTCTTCAATGGCATTAAAACTATAAAACGCTGCTGAAGTTAATCCAGAGGTTAATCCAATGTGTCTGTGTCCCTTTGAAATGATTTCTGATAATCCATCAGCAATAAACCTGCTTTTAAGTTTCCAGATGTCAGAGCGAGAGATAGGTTCGCTCTCATGCAAAACTGTGCGCTTAGCTCTCATTTCTCAATGGTAAGTTCTATGTGGAAATTCCCCTTAGATTCTATTGGCTCTAACGGTCAAAAAGGGATGTCGACCAATGGGTTCCAGAGAAACGGTAAAAACGCCCATTTCCACCAAAATCACCTCAGAGGTGGAGTTTGTTTTGCTAAACCTCTCTAAAAAGGTCAAATGTCACTTGTGTTGCATCAATCTTGATACAGGGTACTTATTATATGTTGTACTTTGGATTCCTAAAGCTTTTAGTCTACCTTACCATCATCCAAGGGTAGTTTTCACTATAAGCAAAAAAAGAATTTTTGGACGGACACTATAATTTACAGTTTTTTTACTATGTTCAATCTGAATTTTCTTTAAAATAAAAAACATATATATTGATTCTGACTTTTCTACATCCAACTCACAGGGTTATCATTACTTTGAGAAAAAAGATTATTCATTTTCCCCTTTTAGAAGGGAAGATATGGTCATTTGTTCTGGGAATGTCATTTTCGAGCCTGATACCTGAAAAACAGGCTCAGGGCTCAACAGGTTAAACTCAGTCTGTTTTTATTTGTTTTATTGTTATATTCTCAAAAGAATTTTCTGATTCTCTCCTGTTCCCTTCTCTTCCAGCAGATAGTGGTCTGCAGGAGGTTTTAGATGAACACAGGCTCAGTCTGAGGAGGAGATGTGAAAGTGTGACTGAAGGAACTGATGAAAGTGAAACCCCCCTCAACAGCATCTTCACTGAGCTCTACATCACACAAGGCCAGAGTGAAGAGGTTAATACCCAGCATGAGGTGAGGCAGCTGGAGACAGCTTCCAAGAAAGAGCCCCTCCATGACACTCCAATCAAGTGCCAGGACATCTTTAGAGCCTTACCTGACCAACAGACTCTCATCAGAGCGGTCCTGACCAACGGAGTCGCTGGAGTTGGAAAAACCTTCTCAGTGCAGAAGTTCACTCTGGACTGGGCCGAGGGTTTGGGGAACCAAGATGTCAGTCTGGTGATCCCGCTCTCCTTCAGGGAGCTGAACCTGATCAAAGGTGAGCAGTACAGTCTTCTCAGGCTGCTCCATGTTTTCCATCCAACCTTACAGAAGGTCACAGCAGAGCAGCTGGCTGTCTGCAAAGTGCTGCTCATCTTTGACGGCCTGGATGAAAGCAGACTTTCTCTGGACTTCAGAAACAGTGAGGTTGTGTCTGATGTCTCACAGCAGTCCTCAGTCAACGTGCTGCTGACAAACCTCATCAGGGGGAAGCTGCTTCCCTCGGCTCTCGTCTGGATAACTTCCAGACCTGCAGCGGCCAATCAGATCCCTCCTGAGTGTGTGGACAGGGTAACAGAAGTACGAGGCTTCACTGACGCCCAGAAGGAGGAGTACTTCAGGAGGAGATCGAGTGATGAAGACCTGTCCAGCAGAATCATCTCTCACATCAAGAGCTCCAGGAGCCTCCACATCATGTGTCTGATCCCAGTCTTCTGCTGGATCACTGCTGTAGTTCTGGACCACATGTTGACTACAGACCAGAGAGGAGACCTACCACAGACCCTCACTGACATGTACTCACACTTCCTGCTGGTCCAGACCAAGAGGAAGAAGCAGAAGTATGAAGAGGGACATGAGACGAGTCCACAGCAGCTGACGGAGGCTGACAGGGAGGTTCTTCTGAAGCTGGGGAGGCTGGCGTTTGAACATCTGGAGAAAGGACACATCATGTTCTACCAAGAAGACCTGCAGCGCTGTGGTCTTGGTGTCACCGAGGCCTTGGTGCACTCAGGAGTTTGTACAGAGATCTTCAAAAGAGAGAGTGTGATCTTTGAGAAAACAGTCTACTGCTTTGTTCATCTGAGCATTCAGGAGTTTCTGGCTGCAGTCTACATGTTCCACTGTTACACCAACAGAGACACAGCGGTACTGAAGGACTTCCTGGAGAGTGACTGGCCCTATGAGAACAGTAACAGCAGTGATCAGGAGTACCCATCCCTGGATGTCTTCCTAAAGGAAGCCATGGCGAAATCCCTCAGAAGCAAAAATGGCCACATGGACCTGTTTGTCCGCTTTCTCCACGGCCTCTCTCTGGAGTCCAACCAGAGGCTGTTAGGAGGCCTGCTGGGTCGCACAGACAACAGACCAGAAACCATCCGGAGAGCCATCAACAACCTGAAGGAGATGAGCAGTGATGAAATCTCTCCTGACAGGACCATCAACATCTTCCACTGTCTGACAGAGATGAAGGACCTCTCAGTACATCAGGAGATCACAGAGTTCCTGAAGTCAGAGAACAGATCAGAGAAGGAACTCTCTGAGATCCACTGCTCTGCTCTGGCCTACATGCTGCAGATGTCAGAGGAGGTTCTGGATGAGTTAGACCTGGAGAAGTACAACACATCAGCTGAGGGACGACGGAGACTGATTCCAGCTGTGAGGAACTGCAGGAAGGCCAAGTAAGTCCATATGTGATTAACTTTATAAACTAATGTGGATCAGAAGTTTAATTATTAAAATAAACACTATAACGTTTCTGCTGTTGAAATACTGAGAGCAAAATAAACCAACACTGTTCTTCTATTTATTTATAATAATAGTTACACTGAGGCGGTTCTCTCTTCATATTGAGTGATGGAGGCGACATGTCAAACACATGAAGGACTTTAGAGGTTTCTCAGCATGTGATCACACCACACAGCAGGACTTACAGTTAGCAGTTATTATTACTTTCTAGTAGTTTCTTTATCATTAAACACACACACGTTTTTATCACAATGTTTTAGAGTTTAAAATAAGATCTATATCATATCCCACCAATACCAGAGTTATGTCTTAATATTCATACAGTGAGAACATCTGATGGTATTCAGTTTAGAATATTGAAACTTTATTGGTTTGTTAACTGTGTTTGTGTGCGCAATACATTTCCAGATGCTCAGAGAAGACAAAACATCCATCATTCACATCTAAATATGAATTAACATTTAAATATGTACATCTCTAATATTGTCAAGTGATTTATTTAATTTCTGTTTCCTTGGTAACAGTCAGTGACAGCAGGAGCACAGACATGTGATCAGATCACACTGACAACACATTACACTCTATTATCATATATATATATAAAATGGACTAACAGCAAATCTCAATCAGAACATGTCAAATATTTTTTCATCAAATGCTTGAGGTCATTATGTTTCCTCTTTTTTAACACATGTTGTAATATATGTGTTATTATAGACTCACTAACTGTGGACTCTCAGAGACTCACTGTGAAGTCGTGGCCTCAGCTCTGAAGTCTGACCCCTCCCATCTGAGAGATCTGAACCTGAGTGTCAGCACTCTGCAGGATTCAGGAGTGGAGCTGCTGAGTTCTGGACTAAAGAGTCCAAACTGCAGACTGGAGGCTCTCAGGTCAGTTCACTGACTGAACTTCATCTGTTTGTGTTTATCATTTTCTGAATTTGAAAAAAATTAATTAAGATTATTTTTCCATTTGTGCTAAAGACTGAATATTGATCAGATAACAAAGAGAAGGTGAATGTGTGAGTGTTTGAGCTTCCACTGACTCACTCTGTGCTCCATGAGTCAGTGGAGATGCTGTGAGTACTGATGAGCTGTGAGGGAGATGAAGGACTTGTTAAACATCTGATCAAAGTTAAAGTTCCAGATCATCAATGGATTGTTTCTGTAAAGGAATATTTTAGTCTTGTTAAAGTATATAGAGTTTAGTGACTTGTCCTCGGGAATCTGTTTCTGGTTAAAGTGTTTTCCTCCTCACTGGAATGTGATCCTGCGCGTAATACTCAGGAGGACAGATCAAGAGGTCCTTTGACTTTCTGTGTGGGTGAGGGGTTTGGGGCACTTAAGGAGGGGCAATATATGCAGTCTTTGTCCTTGGTGTCTGGTAATGATTAGGGGAAAGGGCGGGCTGTTTAGACCCCTCCTTTAAAAGATATATAGAGATGTTTCTGTCTTGTGTTTAGAGTTGGCTGGTATCTTACATGAGAATTGTAATATACTGTGATCTCTCTGGCCGTACGAATCCTCAATAAATATCAGTGTATTGACTAAGGCGAATCCAGTTTCCCTCATTTCATGATTGGCATCAACAAGTGCAGCAAAGAAGTTTATTCTTCACAGTTTCTACATCATCTCTGACATTAAAGGTCTCCTATCATGCAAAAGTCACTTTCTGATGTCTTCTCTACATCACCATGTGTCCCCGGTGTCAGGAGACTCACAAAGTGTCAGGAAACAAACCCCTCTCTCTTTTCCTCCGTACCCACATCTCTAAAAACGGGGGAACAACGGAGCTGATCCAGATTTGCTGCGTCATGACGGCATTACTCAAATGTGGGCGGGCTTTACACCAACGGGCCAATCAGAAACGTTGCTGTCAGAAACAATGAGACGTGTTCTGGAAGTAATATGGTCTGTGTTTACATTAGCATCGCTAACACTCAGAGCTAACCTGTGCTGGAGAGAGCATGTGTGAAGAAGCAGGAAATAAAAAGGAACTCACCTTGTGGTATACCTGAGAGAGAGAAAGAGTTTGAGCTCCATACTGTTTCAGAGAGAATCCTTGATGTGGTTTGGAACATGAGATGGAGTTTCTGCTGGTAGACTTCTGATCAGGCATTAGCTCCACCTCCTTTGTTTTCAAGCTAAGAACCTGCTCTCCTCTAACAGCTGGAACAGAGGGATATGAGGGATTTCTAAAATGCATGATCTGTTTGGTATTTTGAGCAAAACGCATCATAGACATGTTTTTATATATTTGTATATATCTGAGACCCATAATATATGCCTAAAGATAGCCTGATAGGAGACCTTTAAAACCCTGTTTGACTCTGAACAGATTATTAAACCTGGAGTTATTTCAAACAGGAACATTGTTTTCTAAAGTCACATCATGTTGTCTTTATTCAGACTGGAGCTCTGCAGTTTGTCAGAGATCAGCTGTTCTGCTCTGATCTCAGCTCTGAAGTCCAACCACTCTCATCTGAGACATCTGAACCTGGGTTACAACGATCTGCAGGATTCAGGAGTGAAGCTGCTGAGAGATCTTCTGGAGAGTCCAGACTGCAGACTGGAGACTCTCAGGTCAGTTCACTGACTCTCTGTTACTGCTGGAGATCTCATGTTTCATTAGTTATTCAACCTGATTCTTCTACATAATTAACTTACATCCATTCAGTTATAAATGTTCTTTTATTCATACTTTAATTTGTAGGTACTAAAGTAAGAACTGCAGAGATACATGTTGACTGATTCTTAACCAGTTAAGCCCTGAGCCTGTTTTTCAGGTTTCAGGCTCGAAAATGCCACTAACACAACAAATGATATCTTCACTTCTAAAAGGGGTAAATTAATAATTATTTTTCTCAAAGCAAGGTTACATCTGTGAGTTGGATGTAGAAGTGTCAGAATCAATATAGATGTTTTTATTTTAAAGTAAATTCAGATGGAACATAGTAAAAACATGTAAATTCTAATGTCCACCTAAAAAAAAAACCTTTACTTATAGTGAAAACCACCCTTGAATGATGGGTTAGTAGACTAAAAGCTTTAGGAATCCAAACTATAACATATAATAAGTACCCTGTATCAAGATTGATGCAAAACAAGTGAAATTTGACCTTTTTAGAGAGGTTTAGAAAAATAAATTCCAAGCGGACTCACCTCTGGGTAATTTGGGAACCATCGGTTCCATTTGAACTTTTTCACTGTAAAAATCATTTTATTACTTTGAATGATCACTATAGGTATTCATTCCATCCAAATACAACTGTTGTGAAAAAAAAAAAATAAATAAAAAATAAAAAATAAAACATAGGCTTACTCTTACCTCTGAATTAGCCCCGAGCGAAAAATGCTAACCTATTACAGCACCGAAAATCACTCCTCGCTCCCTTATTACTTATCCTAGCTGCACATCCAACGCATTGTTTATGATCGCAAGGAGACACAGAATCTAACGGTGCCCACCTGAACAGCCCAACACTGAAAGATACAAACTTGCGACGTTATCAACAAAAACGTACATCAAAACAAATGGCGCTAGCGCTAATGCGCTAGGCTAACAATGACTTACCTTCCTCGTTGTCTGGTCTAAACTGGTCTTCAATGGCATTAAAACGATAAAAACGATGATGTAGTTAATCCATAGATTAATATCCAATGGGGCTGTGTCCCCTTTGAAATGTTCTGATAATCTATAAGCAATAAAACTGCAATTCCGTTATCTGCTGTCCGCTCTGTGCTCCGTGCGCTCTGGGTCCTGCTGCATTTCCTGCTTCGTTACGTTGTAAACAATAAATGAAGTGGGCTGCGTAATGTACTTAAGCTGGCTGGCATTCTTTATAGTTTACGCAGGACCATATCTCTGGAACCCATTGTCGATTCGTGTGATTTACAACCTTTTTCTTAACCATCAGAACCAATAGAATCGATGGGCGGTTCCCAAATCTACGTAAACATTACCATAGCGGACGTAATAGAGAAGCAAACGAAGCATATCTGAAAGTGCAAGCCTGGACGGCAATACTTTATACCGAGTATATTGCCATAAATATGATGATTGATTATCAGTAAAAAATTATACGTGACACAAAGACATTGGATTAACCTTGAGATGCGTTTTTATTCCGTTGAACACAACTTTTGATCACAAATCAAAAAAGGTAAGACGTAATTATTGTAATATTTTTTGAAACCGGATGTTGTTTACTTTCTCTTTTCTGGCTGATAGCTCCAGGCATTCGAGGTCGGACAGTGATGACATTACATGTGTGGATTCTGTGGAGTCTCAGCTTTAAATCGTATATCTTGTTTGTGCAGTTAAGATAGTAATAAGGGCATTTCTACTGTGTGTTGTGTGTAAAAAAGCGTTAGCATTAGTTAGCATTTTTTCGCTCAATGCTAATTCAAAGGCTTGGTATTACTCTTGTGTTTTTTTTAGCTAACAATTGTTCTTATTGTCAGTTAGCAGAGTTTCTTACCTTTTTAAAAGGGTATGAAACATTAATAGTTTCATAAATGTTAAGAAGCCCTGTGACATGTGAGAAAAAAAAAACTGTGGGAGGGGTCCACTGGGGGGGACCTTCGGGCTTAACTGGTTAAAGGAAACTGTAATAGATGTTAGTTGTAAAAAGTAAATCTATGTTTTAATATCTAATAAACGATAACATCTGAATAATGTTCATCTGAAGTAACATTAGTTTTACAGGATAAAGTTGACTTTCTGAGGAAGACATGTTTTTGTTCCCATTGATTTCAATGTGGAGTAACATCTGATTATAAACTGATTTGTATCCTCATCATGTTTTCTTTATTCAGACTGTGGAGCTGCAGTTTGTCAGAGATCAGCTGTTCTGCTCTGGCCTCAGCTCTGAAGTCCAACATCCATCTGAGAGAGCTGGACCTGAGATACAACGATCTAAAGGATTCAGATGTGAAGCTGCTGAGAGATCTTCTGGAGAGTCCAGACTGCAGACTGGAGACCCTCGGGTCAGTAAGGGGTCTCTGCTGGTTCAGCAGTATTGTATTCTCTCACTGGGGAAACAGATCAGTGATGTTACCCACTGACTGCAGGCTCTTTCATTCTTCCATCAACTACAGAAGGCCAGCTGGAAATGCAAAGCCACACTTTAGTAATCAACTCTCTATCAGACATATGGGGTTTTACAGAATAGTGGGAAAGGTAGTCTGTTCTTATGGGGTGTCCAAACTGCGGCCCGGGGGCCAAATGCGGCCCTCGGCAAATTCTGAAAGTATAATGAAATATGGCCCACACATGAAACTTCAGCTCGTCTTGTATTGTACTTCTTAAATATATATGTACACATATATTACACAGTAGTATTCATGTGTTAATGAGCCCACCTTTAAAATAAATGCAGTCAATTAAAGCTGAAAACATTTCCTAACAAATCTAACTTGATAAGAAAAAAGCCCAATAACTTATTGTTATAACAAGCGTGAAATAAACCCTTCATATTTCCTGTAATTATAATCAATCTGAAGCTCCTGCTTTAAGGAATGAGCTGCTGACAGAATAAAGTAAACCCTCTGGAGAGCTGAGAGCTGTTTGTTTCTTAAAGCATCTTCAAGTAACAAGCATCCTTTATCTTCATTTGAGTGAGTTTCCTGACTTATAACTGAACTTATGAGGCAACATTCCTCTAGAGAGCGGCCCAGAGCTTTATATATCTTTCTCTCTGTGAAAAAGGTTTGGACCCCCCTGTTCTAGACCAATGATTGGTTACTTCCTGTCATGCAGCTGAGAGCTGTGGGAGGCAGTCGTAGTGTTTGCAGAGAAGATATGATGGGATGTAAAGCATGAGATCAGGACTCTGAAGCTGACTCAAAGAACAAACACTTATTTTAAACTGGATCTTAAACTATTGTATTGTGTTCGTCTCTACAGGATCGGAAGAAGGGATAATGAGCCGATCAGAGCCACGATCCAGAAGACCTGTGAGTACTGAAACCGTATCCTCCATTCATCCAGATATGAAACTCTTTAATGGAGCGTGACCTCAGAGAACAACAACACTCTTCTTTCTCTCTTCATCATTTTAGCTGTTTCTCTTTGTTTCATCATCATTATTCTCTCTCTCTCTCCTCTCTCAGGTGACAGGAAGTGAAGACACACAGAAAGGTGAGAGGTCGTACCGTGTGAAGTTTATTTATTGAGGTTTCAACACGTTTTTCTGGTGTTCCAGACAAATCTGCAAGCTCAGGTTTTATTTGTTCTCAGTTTCTTCATCACGGGGCGAGTTTGAGACGTGAAGAGGAGCGTGGAGGCATTTTGGAAAATAAAGAAGAAGGCTGCAGCTGATGAGAGACTTCCTGTTAGCTCTCCTCAATATGAAATGAACAAAAACAATCAATTGTACTTACTGCTTTTCTGAAGAAGAAAGATGTGTTTCACATACTCCTGCTGCTACCTACCACCACCTCCCACCCATCCCGGCACCAAAGAGGAGACTCCATCGACCCCAGATACTAAAGTAAACAGATATTGTTCTAAACTGTATTAAAGTAAACAGGTATTATCTTGAACTGTATTGAAGTAAACATGTATTATTTTGGACTGTTTTAAGTAATCCTATATATATAACCTTCTCACTTACACTCAATGACCCAGATACCCTGCTACACACACACACACCTCCTCCCACCAGCACACACACACATATTCTTTTCAAGGTTCTTTCTGGGGCCAATATAATCTCAAGCACCAATATATCTGTGTACAATGTTTGATTGTCTGGGAAGGAATAGTTTGTGAAATATTCCTTGGGAAAGTAAAGGAGTGAACCCAGGTGTAAGATAAAAAGTAACTCTGTCCTTGTTTACTTCCGAAGCTGTCACGCTCTGTTCAGAAGAGAAATACTTTTTCCCAGAACTCTGATTCGCTGTATTGGGCCCGACCCAAAGTGAATCCAACCAGTAAGAACACCTAGGGGAGTGAGCAACCGACCCAACTCCTCCCCACGGACTCTCTGATTCGCTTAGGAGTAAAATGGGATGGAAGAGCCGACACAACTCCGTCCCAAATATGTCTATATATACTGTTGTTTATTCATGCAAAATGCTCCCTGTTTCTGACTGGCTGGTCCCGATATCTGTATCGCACGGCAGTAGAGCGGGGAGCCCGGAGTGCTCTGTTACAGGGCACTCTGTATTTCGTATTGTGTTTTTTACCATTAAAATCAGATTATTGTTATAACTTTTATGCCGGTGTTTTGAACTTCTTTTATTAAATCTGACCAGGCTCATCTAACGGATGGCGCGGAGCGGAGGTGGGCTTTAAGCCACCACTACTGTGTTTGCTCCTACAATACCCCAACTCACTCTTCTTCAGGTTTGGAGCCCCGCCTTTACCTGCCCCAACATCTCACTTTGAACGATGTAGTCATCCGGATATCTGCCTACTGAGAGTGAGACGCAGGACCCGGTCAATGAGCTGCTGAAAGGGGGTCCACTGGACTGGAGGGGCGCTTGGATCTGGTGATGCCTTGCTCTTCCTGAAAGGGGAGGACACCTATCTGCCATAGTTCTTCCACCTGACGACTGAATTTAGCATCGGGGGTTCCAGTTGGGGTGAAGAGACTCTGGGTGGCATCCGATGGCTCCTGAATAGGGGGGGCCTTGGAGTGTCCAACCTAATGATGATAATAATAATAATATGCATTTAATTTGTAAAGCCCCTTTACCTTTCCACAAGTGAAAGTCTGTCACAGGTGAATGTGTCTTTGAGGAGGAAAGTTTTCTTGGGATTGAAAGAAAGTGATATCTCAAAGGTCACTGAGGCTCCATTTCAGAATAATATATATGATATGTTTTATAATGATTGATCTTTAAAGTGTTCTCAAAGCTGGTAAAGGTGCAGCTAGTTTGAATGACTTTGTATACTGCAGGGTAGCTTGTGAATTTACTCCAGGTGGAACTAAAGTCTGATTTAAAGGGCCCATCCAATCCAACTTTATTTATATAGCACTTTAAAACCTTCAGACCAAAGTGCTGTACAGAGAGATAAGCTCACACAACATAATATAAATACATTTAAAATACAAGATACAAACACAAAAACAAACCAGAATAAACGTAATAATTAAAAATAAATAACAGCCATATAATAAAAACAATAGACCACTGAAAGCAAATAAAAGCAACAATCTACTTGTTTCCGAATGCTAAGGAGAAGAGGTGGGTTTTAACCATAGACTGTATATATAAATGGACGTAGGGTCCGTGACGTCACCCATAGGATTCTGCAGAGTTGCCGTGAAGCCCTTAGTAGGCGGAGTCGGCCACTAACGGCTCGACAGTGACGCCAGAGTTCAACTCCCGCCTTCTCCAAATAAGGGCAAAGAGGCGGGACCTGCTGCCACCGAGCTGGAAGTTCCAGAGCTAGCTGAAGCTTCCAAGCTAAGCTAACATGCTCCCCATCTGCACGCTGCCGTCGCATTTTACGTTTCTAAGGTAAGCGGACATGAACTATTCAGCAAAACTATAAATAATAATCTAAGTTATTGATCTTTTAGCATAATACTTCAGAATCTTAAAACCCCTTAACGTTTGTATGCAATTGTACTAAAATCAACACTGGAATCAAGCAAATATTAATATGTTTGCATGACATTAGTTATTTATATTTTGATATCACTTAACTATACGTTTAATACATTTAAGTCAAGCTAAGGTACATGTGATGGTAGCTAGTTAGTGCTCTTACCTGTGAGGCCTCCTCCAAACAGCATAATAACCAGACTGTATCATTACAACTAAGTACCAGTTATAGATCCTTGACTTTAGACAAACAATTCAAAAGACAAAATGTATTTAAAGACCAATCTTTATTTGAATGTGCCTCTTAACCTGAGATATTAGTTATACAGTAATAGTATTGACAATCTAAAAAAACTGAGCAACTCAACAGTCAACTTTATGTTTCTTATTGTCTAAAGCATTTATTATTTTCATTTTCCCAATCTCATATTCAGTGTGGACGGATTGAGACAGCATGGTCTCCAGAGAGCTGCAGAGACTTCAGGGAGAAACCTCCGTGTGATGGACGTCCTGTCTGTTGGTTTGGAGAGGACTGAGGGTCTTTCCTCTGCGAGGAGGACCAGGGCTGATGGAGGAGCCCATGCTGGGCAAAGCTGATACCAACTGCACAGGCCTGGTCGGTCACTTTATTTGACTAAATGTGTTTAATACATTTAATAGGTTTACACCTTCTGTCCATATGTGCTTTTATTTAAAACATTTGATTAACTTTTGGTTCACATTTCAATAAATTGTATTTGTATTTGCACTCCTTTTGTCCATTATTCTTACTGAAAATGTTAGATTACACATTCACATCTGACTGAAGATTGGCCCCATTTATTTGTGACGTTGCAAAACAAGGTACATGATGTGAAGCTCATAAAGTGAGGCAAATAGAAATAATCAGCGGATGGAGTGTAGATGTGGAAATAGCTGCATTCGATCAGCTGACTGTTTTTACAATAAAAGTAGTTTCTTAGTGAATGTCCTGTACTGGTCTTAAAATCTCATAACATCAGCTTTGAATGTTCCTCTTGGATGTTCTTCTTGACCCTCAGAGAAGGAGAACATGTCCTGTCTTTCAGGCATGTCCTTTCCTAACAAAAT